GTGTGTGTGTGTGTGAGTGTGTGAGTGTGTGTGACACCAGGATGTCGTCACCTTCAGACTTGAAGCTTCAAACTGAAGACTTAGTGCCTGCTGATGTCATGTTATCGTCTGTTACCATGACGACAGCTCCCCCCATCACCAGCTCCATGACTCTGACAGGATGGAGTTTGTAGTTGAGACAAAATAAATGTCTGATCAGACTTGTCACATCTCTGGGGCTGATGGGAAGTTCGGGAAAATGTTTTTCTTATGGTCCCAACCTCACGTTGCACGTAGCTTTCATCACTCGTCTGGAGGAACATGGAGATGATCTTAAAGAGACAGGAGATACGTGTTTGAGATGGACAGTCTGAGGACAGTGATTCATGAAGACATGTTACAGTCACAACACTGATTCACATGATGATGAGCAGAATGTGTCTCCTTTAAAAACCAGTTTTCACTCTGAGCCTTTGTTTCTGTTTCTGACTCATTCAGTGAAAATGTTAATTATCAGTTTGAGCGTTTCACCATCGTGCTAATTAGCCTGTTAGCAGCTGCTGCTCAGCGAGAGCCCTCCATATTAACATAATGTAATTAGCATCAGTCGTGTACTTGAACCATTGACTGGTGTTAGCTGGATGCTAATGTGAGCTGGAGTGGACCGGACACGAAGGTTTGATAAATGGACAAAGAGACGGGGGAGGAGACACAGAGAACATATCAGACGTTTCCGTGACAACAGGCATGAAGCGACGTGCTCACACTCGTTCATATTGAATAAATGGATCTGATCAGTTTCTAAAATCATCAGGAGCACGACCGACTGAATTAAAAAGAGGACACAGATGAATGTCTCCCCGTCTCCTCATCCTTGTCTCCCTGTGTCCTTGTCACTTGATTCTCATTTGCTCGTCCTCGTCTCATCTTTCTAGTCTCTTTGTCTTTGTATACCTTTCCTGATGTCTTTGTGTCCTCGTCCTCATCTCCTCATGTCCAAGCTTTCTTGTCTTTGTCTCCTCCTCCTTCGAGTTCTTGTGTCCTCGTCCTTCTCTTGTCATCTCCTTGTGTCCTCAGACTCAGACCAAACTGCAGCTGCTGAACCAGATGTCTCGTCGACAGTCGTGTGTTTAATCTTCTGAAATGGAAACTCTTGAAACACTTCACAGTCTTCAGAGCGACTCACTCGTGTTGATGTTCCTCCACATTTTATGATGCAAAGTTTATTTTACGTCTATTTTCGTCTCTGTCCTTCAACAGTTACTGTTTATACACATTCACTCTGAGGTTCATTTCACATTTAGTCTCTTCATTAAACACGTTCAGAGAAAAGTGCGGACCTGAACCTTGAAACAGGCTCCACATGATTTATCATCACTTTATTTTCTCAGTGGGCGTCAGAGCAGATTAGACACAAAGCTCTGACAGCTCTAGGTTCTTTTATTGCGAAATAACAATTCTCTAATAATAATTATCCTTTTGTTTGTTTTATTTCTCATCATTGTGGTTTCAATTTGGTCATTCTTGTTGGTATAATTATTAGAAATTATAATTTTCTGAGCATTTAACTTCAACAAAACAATTTTACTACCTGAAAATACACAAAGTGTGTCGTCATAATCTCATAACAATTGATTTATTCTGCAGTTTTTCACTTGAATGCAACAAAAGCTTTTTCCTGAAGGCTCTTCATCAGTCTTCTACATTTTTAATGTGAAAGTAAACAAAGTGAAACTTTCATCTGAAAACAGTTTATGATTGTTGAGCCTCTGCTCCATAATAAACTGTCAGAATCAAACAGTGAATGTTCGTCGTCATGAATGAACGTTGTTGAGTCGTCTCCTCCGGTCACAGCTGTGATTCCAGGAATGTGAAATTTAAAGGGACACGCTGCCATTTTTATCTCTGTGGTTCATGAATCACTCATAACTCTGATTCTGCTGTTTTTAGAGACTGAGGCCGAGTAACAGAGACATTCAAAGATAAATCACAACCCCCGAAATAATCCCCGTCCACCAGAGAGGGAGCCACTCCTTCTATGGAAGCTGGTCTCTGCAGAGAGGTCAAAGGTCAGAGCAGAAAACCAGAAGCTTCAGAGAGACACTGATTATTCATATACAATGGTCTTTATACACTGTTAGTCTTTATATACAGTCATGTGACTGTCTCATGTGAGACTCATTCTTTTGTCTTATGACTTCATGTGATCTGAAACCAGTCGACTGTTCACGTCGACCTTCTGGTGAACCAACAACACGTTGAGATGTTTTAACTGAACCTGTTTTCATGACACTTATGTTCCATATCATTACAGTTTAAACTCTTTATACAAACATTCATAATTAGAAATTAATGATTTCGACTAAGTGTTTTTAAAAAGATTTAAAGATGTGAAACGTTCACTGACTCAGTAAAAACATCAAGAATCTGAAGCTCATGTGTTAAATGACCTGCAATGGATCCGGCCTCGCTCTGATTGGTGGAAACTCTGCGCCTCAGCTGAATTCAGCCAAAACGTCTCTGTTCACTTTCCTTGTGATGGTTAAAGGAGCAGGTGGAAAATGCTGAAAAAAAGTGTTCTTTCATTTCAGGAAGGTCTAAACAGAAAACAATCTAAATCCTAAAAGCAGTTAACTCAAACATGCTCACAGCAGAAACAAGGCAGACACTAGAGAACTTACTTGAGGGAATGAGGGAGACATCGAACAACGAGCCGACGAAGACCGAGGCAAGCACAGAAACTTAAATCCGGACTGAACTGATGACAAACTAGAGACAGGTGGCACAGGACAGGTGAAACTAATGAAGACAGGAAGTCCAGGAGTCAAACGACAACATAAAACTGAAAACTCAGAACACAAATCCAAACATAAGGAAAACACAGGTACTCACATCTTTCTCATAAAAGAAGCAAAAAGACCAGAGTCATGACATTTCTGCTGCGAAGACAAAGAACAGACAGAGAAACTTCATCTGCTGACAGAGGAAATACTGAGCTGTGATTGGACAGAGAGACGTCTCTTCACTCGACAGTTTCTGAATAATCATCTGTAAATTAAAGATTTTTAACTGAATAAGTTTCTCACTTTTATTCAGCTTTACTGTTTTGACCCTTTCACATGTTTAAGGATCGAAGTTCCTCCACACGCATCTGACACGGATCATGAAGCAGCGTCGTACGAGACATGAGTCAGCTGCTGAGGCTCATGGGAAAAAAACCCTGATCTGGGAAAACGTTTGACAAGAAATCGACATGAAGCTGTGATGTTTTCTTCAAGCTGCTGAGTGTGTGTGTGTGTGTGTGT